TCAATGGAAACATCATATTTTTAATGTTTCGATTGTCTAGTAAATAGTTTACAGTTACTGATATTTTATATTGACATACAATTTCTAGAGAAATTTCTTGTTACCACTTATATGATTACGGATATTTCGAAAAGGGGTTGTATTAAGGCTCTCCTCTATTTGACTCTTCTCATACTTCGCTATGTTTCTATGTTATTTTCTTTCTTTTATCTCCTAGGCAATATTTCAGAGGGAATATTCTGTCTGTTACATCTGTAGATATAATTAGTCATTGCAAATTTCTAATTGTATATTCCTTCGCGACATTAATACCGATCTAATATAACATTTTTAAGAGTATGCATGGTGGTCATCTTGAATTAAAGTAATCTTGCGATATGTGTAATATCAATATATTAATATTTTAATTCAGTCAAGTAAGGTACTTTGTCATACTTCTGTTCAAACGATTTTTGTCATCAAAATGCACAATAACATAAAACTTCATTTCATAAATTAAATATATTCAATATGCAAAAATAATGCTTTACTCATACTCGTTTCTTTTATTTTTAAATTCAATTGCTAGTCTCTACCCCTATAACAAGTACTATAAGTTTTAAAATAGTTTGAAATAGGCAATCAAACTAGCGCTAAATCTTTACATTATTTCTACCGTTTTCCTACCGTATATCATGTCAGTTCATTTATGCATTCTACAAGTGTTGCGTCTGTTGAACGTTTATATGCAATATTAAATTCTGAATTTATTTAGCTCAATTTAAATCATAAAACAAGCAAATATGCGTTATGAAATTAGTGACTTAAATTATTGAAGAGAACAAATAATATTTTTGCATATTAATAAGTTTCAAAAACATCAATTATATCAAACGCAGCATTTATGAACTAAAAAACTGTAATATTTATCATTGTTTATAATGCAAGATGAATGATTTAACCTTAACGGATAGAACAACTTGAAAGCCATAAACCACAAATATTCTCATTTTGTTCCATTTTTATTTCTAACAGATTAAGGAATAATAACATTTTAATATAACTGCTTATCAGTTTTACGTTTGAAGATGAACTAAAACTGATTTAATTTGTTTACGTGAGTTGATTAAATATTTTTTTGCGTGTAAGTGTTTAAATATGAGAGAAATTTTGCTGCTATTCTACCATTTATAAGCAATTCAAATTTGTTATGTCTGTAAACATTGCACGTTGCTATATGTACTGCTTATTTTTTTATAAACAAAAATATCAACAATCTTTTATCTTTAAAAAATATAGATATTTTGTTATGTGTCACATTTTGAATTGGCTTTTTATTAATGATCATTATAATATCATTTTGTGCTTCAGAAGCAATTCAAAATCCTTGGATTGTTATCGTTGAACCTTGCTATGCCACTAGCGCTCTACATAAATGATATCGAGATGCTTTTTGTATAGTTTCAATGTAATACCGCTTAACATTCATTTCAAGAATAAATAATGTAAGCACAAGCAAAACTTTAAGATATTCTATTTAAGTTGTTTTCTTTCTTATTTCCTATTCTAAATCTGTAATTAACAACATGATAAGCATTTATAAATGTTTGTGTTTCAATATATGTGACATATCATTTCATCACATTGCAAGGGATTTGCAACTTGACTATAGGCTTTGCATATAATATACTCTGCAAAAACATACGTTTCCTTAATGCATTTTCTTGTTCGTCGTTAATTTATAAATGATTATGTTGAAGATGTTAACAAAAGGAATTCCAATTTCATAAATTCGTTGTGAAAAGATTTATTCTGATATCCATATAACAGTCGACTACAGCCTCAGGACGATTGAATGTCTCAGGTAAATAGAATAAACAAGATAATACAGCCTTTACAATGAGTAGGTGCCTCGGGTCATTTAAATCTCGCTCGAACTAGATTCTGATTAACTCATGACAGATATACGCAATGACATTGACATTTCTGAAAATTTACTAATAACTGATTTATGAGACAAACCAAATTATCCAAAGACGCACATATTACTTGACATTATAGAACAACATAATCAGTGTAATGTGATATACATCAATTTATATTTTGGCACTCATCTGACTATAGAATATTCGTTACAGTTTTTTGTATTGGCCAATTCTGCGATATTGGCCACTTTCAATTTGTGCGTTTTTTTATTATCCTGTTTTTTTAAATTTCATTTGCATTGTATTTCTTAAGCCGAATCAGTAGACGCTTTCTCAAAGTTCATAATGATTTGAAACAGAGAGATAAAAGAGTTTCCTATGTAAAAGTAGTGTGCAGTAATTATTTATTATAAAGTATTACTGTAGCTTCAGTATTTTTTAACCTTTTTATAATTGGTTACATGCTTTATTGTTTGTCTGAGTATAATTTAGTTTATATTAATGCTGTATTATATCCTGGTTTAGTCCGGTAGATCACTTGATATGTTATGATTTCAACAACATAAAACACGGTCATGCATTTTCTGTTCAGTGATATCAAGAAAAACATTTAATTGAGATATGATAAAAAATAAATTATTTCAGGACAATATTAAATAAATGTATTCCCTCGCAAACCTTAAATGAAGAATGTATATTTTAAGGTCATGATGTGAAGAGTGCATTCTGATCAGGACATGTATGAATAATGCATATTTTATCGGCATGATATGAAGAAGCATTCTTTTGAAGAATATAATAATTTTAAAGAAGTCATTCAAGCAACGTTGTCAAATTCGTTTTACTTAAAGTAAAGCTTATCTGGTAATCTGTTATCAAAAGGACTAATATCATTATACGTTACATTATACATTATATGTTACAAGTGGTTGGACTTTTTAAAAAATGTTCATCTCTTCCATCTTGGGCTTTCTTACAAATTGCACATTGCTCCCTATATCTTTAAAAAAGAACAATAAGATAAACAAGTCAAAAAAAAATCAATTCCAAATATCGAGGAGGACAAGTTTAGATAATGTTTAAATGACAAAATAAGATAGGAATAAAACAGCCTCCGGAATAAGTTTGCAAATCCGGAATTTTCGCAAACTCAACTACCCTTTTTAATATAGTTTCAATACAAAAAGTTAAATCAAACAGTAATTTGGATAAAGATATACGTTTATACAAAGATAGCGCTATAATTAAACGCTGGGTGACCTTTCAAAGTGTGGCATCCCATGGGGTTTTTCAATTCTCCCACGGGGATTTACGTGTCCCACTGGGACTTCAGTGGGGTTAAAACCCCATTTCTTAAAGTGGGAGAATAAAACCGTGGGAGTAAATAGATTTTTTTTTCTAAATATTTTTACATGTGTTGAATATATAATACTTATAATAAACTTATAAGTATTCGAGGAATAAATTTAAAGAAATTTGCAATTCTCCCATTGGCTGAACTAACCCATTAAGTAAATGGGAGAAATCTCCCAAAATTAAAATGGAGCGAAAATCTCCCAAAATTAAAATGGGAGAAATCTCCCATTACAGCGTAACTGGAGAAATACCCCATTAGAGCGTAATGGGAGAATAACATAATGGGAGAATTCATCCATATCTTTTTTTTGTTTTACATATCGGATCGGAAGTTTAACAGTAAAAGTTTTTCTGCATGTTAATATTCGGTTCCGCCCTTTTTAAAATGAAATAAGTCCGGTCCGATTATTTATTTGTTAATTTTATTTGTTTATTTATGTATCTATTTATTTATTTATCTATTTATTTATTTATTTATTTATTTATTTATTTATTATTTAATTATTTATTTATTTATTTATCCATATTTATTTATTTATTTAATAATTCATTCATTCATAAAATGCATAGTTTGTAAAAGAAATTAGAGCGTTTCATTGATCTCTTTCTTTCTTTCTTTCTTTCTTTACAACAATGTTGAATAATTGAATGGCTATTTGTGTTTAAAAACGGCGTGTTTGAAAATCGTGTAGGCACGTTCAGTTAGAGCATTTAAATATCAAAAGCAATATTTGTTTACATAAATATAACTTGTGCAACACGCCAAATGAAACAAAACAACATATATTTTGATGTATTAGCGAGGAAAAGAAATACACATAAGTATAACTGACATGACGGTTAACAAAATTAGATGGGGATATTCATACATCATCAATTAAAATAGCTACAGAAATTACCGAATATTTATTTATTTATTATTTTATTAATTAATTAATTAATTAATTTATTTATTTATTTATTTATTTATCATTCATTCATCCATTCAATTAATTATAAATATATAAATAGAAAGATAATAAAAAATAATTAAATAAATAAATTAATAACATGATAAATAAATAAATTAATGAATTACTTAAATAAATTAATTAGAATATATCTGAAATACTATGATTCCGATTGGATTTTTACCTGAAGTTTCATTGACAGTATGAAAGTCACTTGTACATTAAATTTGGGCGAGGTGTGGTCAGTGCAGTTCTAATTACCAATGAAAAAAGGAATTATCTTTCGGATAATAACTTGATTGGATTGCAACATAAATGACTAGCAGGTCTGATTGCCCCCTAAAAGAATGTTGACACCACTTGAACGTGTGAAAAACATAACCATCGAAGGTCATTAATTACGTATTATATTACACATCATTTTGTTCAAAGAGATCAATTAAGTTTTATTACACTTCATGATGTTTTTTTTTCATAACAGCATAATTATATAAGACACACACACGCACACATAAAAAGATGCATGCTTTTATCACATTTAATTTTATCAAAATATTTTTACGTGAATAACTTGATTTGTATAATGTTGTACAAAAAAAATCAGATATTAAGAAAGTAATCAGCATGTATTGTTTAAGAATCAAATCGTTTATTCTAAAAACATGTGCATTTATAATAAAACATACTTAACGTATAAGACAATCGGTTGGATTCACTTCTATACGTTTCTCTATCATAACTAAGTTAGATAACGATCTACGAAGAAAATCAAAAATCAAACGTTCTTTAGAAGGCGGAAGGCTCTGATCACCTGTGCGCCGCTTTTTTCCAGAGCTTTGTTTAACTCATTATCGTTTAATAACCCAAATATAAAAACCAAACACTGCAATAATTAATTACTCAATACAGTAAGAGATTGGATAATCCTAACATGTCGGCATCATACACAGTTTTGTGATCATATTTATCATAGACGAGCATGTAGGGAGCCTTGAGCGGATACATCAAGAATATTACTCTATTGAATATTTCCGCAACTTTGATAGATCTTACACGTTTGAGAAATGCAGAATTCTGAAATATTCGAAACCAGCATTTAGCTTTTTAATGAAATAGTTTAGTGCTTATTACAAAAGGATTTTTTTCAATTGGATTTGATTTTTTAATTAAATAACCTAGAAAATATAAAACGAAGCAATTTAACTGTTTGAAACAATCATACCAAGGAATTTAAATAATAATGTGAACATTAAAGTGAAGTGTTATTCTTAAAAATGGGATTAGAATTTTTATTGTTTGAAAAAGGTATTCAGGGATTTCTTGTGAATTTTATTTTAGGCTTATAAATGTTAAAAGTGATTTTGCTACACAAAATGACGAAGATAGATATTATATGAAAACACAAAACTATGTTTCAAGTTTGTTCATTTGAAAGTCATTCTAAACAGACATCAAGATACCCTTAGAAATACGATGAAAGTGTTTTAGTACTTTTAAAAATGGGTCTAGTAACATATATTCGAGCGTTACTAGTGCGGATACTGTTTGCATGCCATGGAGTTATGGCCATATGGAGATTGTACATGGTCACAGGAAGTGTGTGGTGTTGGTATCTAGGCGGTGCACTGTTTCTGCTCTTTCTAGAAACGCTTATAACAATAGCAAAGAAACGCGGAAAAGAATGGAAATGGTGAGTGAGTATTCATGATAGTCTACACAGTTTTTAATTTGATATACATTGTAATCATCTGCAACATAAAAAAACGTAAAGCAATACACAACCAATTTTCATCTAATTACATTTTGCTTAGTACCTTCATCAACTTACCGAATATTTATTTGTTGAAACATTGTATTTAATTCTAGCTTGTTTTATGGAAAATTAGGACGTATTGAAAAAGAATTTAGACCCTTACGCCATTTTCCGTTGTTTTTTCACGGTAAAAAAATATTTTCCATTGCAGTGAAAGATATTCTCCGTATTTTCACAGGTGTCTTTCCGGACTTATTTCTTTGAAATTCAGCCAATACACACAATTTAAGGGGACGCTTTTCAAATTGTAATATCAAAAAAGAGAGGAAAATGTATATAATAAGAAGACAAGATTTTCTATGAATACAGGATTTATTTTCATCTAAAGATAAGAAAATTATCATATTTTACGCGTGGCTACCATTTAGTAGAATATTTATTTTCATACCACTTGATGAAAATTAACGCCATATCGATAGAAAAAAACTTGGATATCCTCTATATGTAATAGAACTATCACTTTTCTTCGTTGCTCACATTGTTCAGTTATTGATAGTTTAAGACAGCTGCTATACAATTTTGTCACATTGTAATTGTATTAAAGGATATATATTGAATAAAAGCATACGCTTTGGATAAATGATGAATCTGTTTTTAATTCGAAACCAGATAATAACCAGTTTGAACTACAATGTATTTGAAAGCAATTCCAGTTTGAATTATCAAATTACAAATTTGATGCCAAAATAATATAAAAATTGACATAAGTTCCATTAAATCTACATAATTTGAACCAAATACCGAACGCCTTTTGATAAATCGGCATTGTTTCACAGCATTATTATCATAAATTCTTTTCAGATGATCATAGGATCTATGTTAGTCACTTTGTCATGACATATCTGTATGTTGTAATTTAATTCTTGGAATGTGCAAGATCTGATATAAACTTATCGAAATATATAATATATAACAACAGTTATTATATATGTTTTTATAAACATATGTTATTTAATGAAGTTATCAAGAAATCATTATGTGAGTATTTGCTTATATCATTATGACGTCATCACAACTTTGAATTTCTTGCAACCACACACTTCAGTCGAGAATAGAGTAATCTAGGTCTTAAAAAACAAAGCAGTGCAATAAATTCATTATACTATACAACAATAAAGTAGCTTAAACTTACGACGTAAAATGATGTTTAAGATTAATTAAAGTCTTATAGGTCAGGTTTAATTATAGGAAAATTACTAATTCACGTCATTTGTTATAAGTTGATTGATCGAATGAATGTGTTTGAAGGAGTGACGACTGGAAAAGACATATGGTGACATAATACCCTAGTTTAGCTCCTCTTTGGGCTCACTCGGGCATAAAACGGTATCCGAGTAGAAACAGTGTCGAACGAACCTTAAGCAAACTCGATAACTTCCTTTTGTAAAAAAATCACAGCTTCTGGCTGGCTATGGTATTGGGCAAATAGTTATTTTAAACAATCATGGACGCCTCCAGGTGTTGTCATTAGTGAAATGCTATTCTATATGCCTATAGATTTGTTGCTATTGTAAGAATGATATTGCTATAGATGCTACTTACATTTTTATATGTCAGCCGTTATTTATAATTAATTTAATAAAGTTTAACCTCTGATCCATAGCTTTATCGGGGCAACATTACGTTTGGTCTTACGCAATTGCATACCTTTATTTCTTACCTAAAATGATGCTATTTGCCCTCATTAGCTATAAATTTAGAATATTATAAACAGGGCAAAACAGACCAAAACAGGCTACTTTGTTAATGCATTAAGGTATGTAGAACATCACTACAGTTAGATGTCGCTGCTAAAAATATACTACAATATTATAACTTTATCTAGGTTGTATAACAATACAGTATCATAATATTTATATTTAGACAAATTGTGAATATAAATACAGCTTTTTCCGGTTCACCTTAGTGACTTGATCTTGACTAGCTCAAAATGAGTATTCATAAATCACCACTCCGGCATAAACTATGTCATGAAGTAAAAAAAACAATCACTACAGTTCAGTTAATACAGTAAATACAGATAATATAAAATGTATCGCCTCTATATTGAAATATCGATATTGAATCGCGAGGGTATTTATCATGATTTATCGATATATCGATATTATCATACCGACTTTAAACAACATTACATCTGATATTCATAAAAATTCAACAAATTTATCATCTGGAAATTCATAATTCAGCTGCCAAGATGTTTATCTAATTGAAGTAAGTTAATAGATACTCGAAATAGGATAAACATAAATAATTAATATCGGTTCATATACATCAGATAGATTATTAAGTGGCAACGGGGTATATATTTTATATATAGTTTAATGCAAAACTTTTGTTTACCTTTCAGACATAACTGTAATATATTAAAAATTGGCAGTGTAGTATGTGAAGTATGTAACGTATTTTTTTTATTTATAGTGCAGCTATATACAGCGTTAAGATAACTATAGATAATTATACTCGATTCAAACAAATAGAATCCAAAATAAAAAAACAAAACAAAAAAAAACAGAACGTCCGAAATTGCAAATTGAAATTGTTGCAGGATCGGTTTCATTTTGCTTGTTCATGGACGGCAATAGTAAGTAACAGAATGCGTATGTCGTAAATACATTTTTACATAATAGACGTTACAATGTTGAAATATACTGTAGGAAATGAGCAATATTAAATTACAGAACATATTTAATTGTTTTCGGGGTTTTTTTGGTTTTGTTCTTCTTGTTGTTGTTGTTTTTTTTTATAATTAGTCTGGTCTGAGTTAATTTGCATGCCAATTAGTCTGGCTCAGTACTGTTTGCAAAAGTAATTTCGATTTCTATATCCTAAAGGTCTTATTTCGCATACTAAACAATGATAATAATGACATAAATATTACAGATAAACGTATTCGAGTCGTATATTCTTTTATAATATTATAATTACGTCAATAAAACAATCAAAAGCTACATTACAGACAATGAACCTTGTGTAACAAAAAACTTTTTTGTTGATTTGCTCAATATAATTATTATAAAGCAAGGATAACGGACTTGAAACAGTTTATGTATTAATAAATCCTTACACCTCCCATAGAGCAGTTGCTGCACTGGTATCAGTTTATTCCATCGACGTTTTCAAGTTCTGTTCCAACGTTTATTTTTTGTATGATTTTGATGGCATTTACAGACTGACGAGTTCTATTTGTAAACTTTCTAGTGTGTAATCATTGTATAGATTAATGGTGTTTGGAAATTATGTATTTTTTCTTTTGATTTTATCCTTATAGTTATTTTTTATAATTGTGAAACAAGTTAAAAAAAGAGGGCTTACCGAATAGAACCTTTGAAGAAATGTATAAAAACATGCCCGACTCAACATGAAAATAAACTGTTCCTTCACTGTCGAATGACTGTTTAGTAACGTTCATTCTAATTGCCAAGTGCCATCATGAGCTTAATTTATCTTGTACACGCAACACATTCTGCAGTTTTCATATTTGTATGATTATATAACGAATAATAACCAGAGTTAGGTAATTGGAGTAAAAGTTTTGAAACTGTTTGAAATATTACTTACGCGTCATATTCCGACCCAACGTTTTTTGTCAGGAAAAAGGGGGCAAAGAGTGATATAGGTTCCGAAAGTCTCATTTGAAATTTCTCTAAAGATTGGATCTGGTGTAATGGTCACGATATATGTCTTCCTATCCAGTCTGTGGATGCTGATTTAGCGTACAGGGAAATTTCAACGAGGTCATCTAATGCGATTATTTTAGTTGCCAAGCATAACAATTATCGTAAGTTTCTTACTATATCGAAATACAGAAATGTTTAAGATTAGAATTATAGTCAATTAAATGTTATCTTGAGATAAAATATTAATTAATACAACTTGAGATAAAATATTAATTGTTACCTACCTGCTAAAACAATTTATTACCCTTCCAGACTTTTTCCGCCTTTTTGATTGGATATTGATCATCCGAAAGAAATTGATATTACCGAGCCAGACGGGTAATATACACATTAAATTTCCCCGATGGGTACCCCACGTTGTAAACAACATGCGCCGTGCGATGCGCGTACGGTTTGATTTTACGCGATATAAATTCCAATTTACAAGCAATTTTAAACTGTCAAGTGATAAATATTTACCAAAATAGAGTAATGATACATATTCTCGTCAGTATAGGAAACAAATATGACCTTGTGAAAGCTTGATATTAATTCCAAAAAAGTGCGTTCAACAGACTACTCCTTTTCTCTTGTTTACATCCGTTATGTTCGAAAGATAATACGTCATGTATTTGTGACGTCATGTTATGGTGAAGGGGTATCATAAAGGGAATCTTATTTCGTCGTTTCATTTGAAGTAGCAATTATTTATTTTAAAATCGTCTTAACTCGGCACGGGAAGGGTAATAAAATTATTATTTTGGTTTTGGAGTGATACATGTGGATATATTACCTGCCAAGATAAAACATCACCCGAGCCTAACGGCTCGGGTGATATAAAATCTTAACAGGTAATATATCCACATATATCACTCCAAAATCAAAATAACATATAATAGCATGGTTTTTTATAATTACCATTCAACTATTTTAATTGTCTCATAAATTTACCAAGTGTGATTAAAAAAATACCATTTTTTTATTTCAATTTTGTACGTTTTGTATTGAAATGCATTATGTAGTTAATCTTATATTCCAGGTAAAAGCAGTCACTATTTTTCTTATCAATACTAACGAAAGTCTTAGAAACAATGACGTAATCAAGGTGAGATCCCAGCTCCGCTTGTTTTAGTATGTTTACAGAATCCCTACTTAATGACTGGCCAACCGCCGCCTTGAATGAATTCATATAATATAGTTTATCAATTATTTCAAATTTAA